CGCGCAGGTTTGTTGATTTGTATGCTTCGTCGCGAGACCGATCGTCGAACGCGCGTTGATTAATATACGCGTGCTGATCGATGCGCGCGGGCTGATTGACGTTTTTTTGGTTTCTTTCTTCCGGGATTTGTTCTTGTCGCGTATCGCGCAGGTTTGTTGATTTGTATGCTTCGTCGCGAGACCGATCGTCGAACGCGCGTTGATTAATATACGCGTGCTGATCGATGCGCGCGGGCTGATTGACGTGCGCGCGTTGACTGGCGCGCACGAGGTGATTTGACGTGCACTCGTTGACCGGCGCGCATGAGTTGGTTGACGTGCGCGCGTTGACCGGCGCGCACGAGTTGGTTTGACGTGCACGTGTTTGACTGACGCGCACGCGTTGATTGACGTGCGTGCGTTGACCGGCACGCACGAGTTGATTGACGTGCGCGCGTTGATTTGACGAATCTTCTTGACTCGCCCATTCATTGCTTCGAGCTTCGTGCGGGCTCTCGTAGACAATTTTAGACGCCTACAACGAACCCTTAGAGTTTCATTCTGAAACCGCCACCGTCATTGCTCCTGCACCCAAGATCGAAACCCTAGGGTTTCCTGACGCCGCCGTCGTCATCGGAGTCGAAAGCGAGGCCGCCAGCGATACTTCGCCGGCAAGGAGCACGGGATCGACGACCAGACAAAATAGATCCAAAAGTTCCTCGATTTTATTTTAAAACCAGAGCCAGAATCGAAAGATAACTTCTTGATCCAGAGCCCAAAAGAAAATCGAAGGAAAAACTAACAAAAATTTAAAAACTTTACTGTTCACCGAAATTTACTGTTCATCCGTGAACAGTTCTGAGAAAAATCAGAGATTTTTTAAGATCAAAAAACCTAATTTTTAAGAACTTAAACCCCTAAGAATTAATCACGGGTGGCTCTGATACCACTTGTTAGTTCTAAACGTGATTAAATCATAGAGATTAAACATTAAGAGCGGAAGCTTATACCTGAATCCATGGATTGAACTTGAGTTGGGTTTTGGATATTCTAATCTTAGGGTTTCTCTCCTTAAGATCTCTTTAGATGGGGATAAGAGAATGAGAATGACTAACCCTAGATTAGGGGCCATAACCCCATATATATAGGTGTTGTACATTTATAATTTGACCCCTCATCAAATTACAATTACAACTTGGTATCTGCACATATAACCCCATGATTTATTTATATACCCATTAACTCAAATTAATTGATCACTTTAGTTGGTTATCCTGAAAAATAGCAATACATATAGATTAATCATATGTGCCCACAAATAGATTTAATTAGATTTAAATCCAACACCTCAAACATAAAATAGATCTCCGTATTTAAAATTTTCATGTCTGATACTTATTTATTTAATTTAATAATTAATAATTTTATAATAATACTAAAATAAATTAATCTTAGTTTCATTTTAAAGATCTCAACGAGACCTTTCCAAATATATATAATGATTTCAAATATTAGATTAATAATTTTTTAACTATATTTATTTGAAATTAAACATCTAATTTAAATTACTAAGAATGATGACAAAATGGTAATTTTTAAGAAATTAAATAGTTAAAATGGCAAAGTTGTAATTAATGAAACATGAATAGTATTATGGAGAGACTCTCCAAATTTTCTCTTCACCCTCCAAATTTGGAGGGTGAAATTTGGAGATCTCCAAATTTGGAGAGTGGTTGGAGAGGTTCCACTCTCCAAATTTGGAGATTTTGCTTTTTTAGATGCGGGTTGGAGATGCTCTAATCAAAGCTGATTTTGGCTTGGACACTACTAATTACATTTTAACTACATTCTTCAGCAACTAATAAAGCAGTTGATAGGTGGGATTAGACAAGAAGCAATTAATATTTCTATGTAAAATCTGTTTGAGTACGGCATAATTTAGAGCATATATAGATCAAGCAAGCACACACACATAAAGGAAACATGTAGAAGTTACTTTGTAATAGCGAACAAGCTGAAAGAAGATAAATTTTAAGTAAATATAATAAGTTGAATGTTGTTTTTAGAAGGCTAAATATCAGAAAACCTCCTTAGCTCCCCTTTAACTTTCAAAATACCAGAAACAAGCCTCTTAACTATCGGAATTATCACAAAACCGCCCTTTAACTTTCAACCTTTACCTTTGAAATTTCATCAAAAAAAACCCTTAAATTTAGGTGAATATTAGAAAACACCTCTTGACTTTGAAATATCAGAAAACCGCCCTTAAGTTTAGGGATTATAAAAAAACCCCTTAACTTTGATATTACTGATATCTTTCTGATAACCCCTAAACTTAAGGGTTTTTTTTTTATATTTTCAAAGTTAAGGGGTGTTTTCTAATATTTTCAAAATTAGGGGGGGGGGTCTGGCAATCATCCAAAGTTAAGGGGGGTTTTATGATATTTAGCCTTTTTAAAAAGTCATCATTAGGTAAATAACTTCAAATATATGGTAGTGTTTTGAAAAAAAATTAAAAAATTTTATAGCTGCTATATGAATTTCAAGATGTTTTTATAACATTCCAAAATGTATGTAAATTTCTTGAAATTTAGGTCTCCAAGTTAGTTAGCCAAACTCGTGTCCAGAGGACCAACTACGTTTTCATGCCTTCATTTTGTCACTTTTGTGTACGAATGCATCCCTCACTCCATCTTACTACATATACGAGGAGCCTAAGCGTTAAACCCATGGCCTCTCTTTTTTCCTCTTCCTTGTCTCAGTCTCTCCCTGATTCCCTCATGAACTCCTACTTCAAGCTCTTCGTCTCCCTCCTCGCCTTCTCCTTCTCTTTCGTCTTCATCCTCAAACTCTTCAAATTCAGGCCAAACATTGCCATCCGGCCCAAAACCCTCAAACTCCCACCAGGCCCAAAAGGCTGGCCCATAGTCGGAAACCTCTTTCAAGTGGCCCGATCCGGCAAGCCCTTTATCCACTATGTCCGCGACGTGGGCTCCGTCTACGGCCCAATATTCACCCTTCGAATGGGCTCTCGAACTCTCATCATCGTCACTAACGCGAATTTAGCCCATGAGGCCCTTATCGCCAAGGGCCCAACGTTTGCCAGTCGGCCTGCCGAGAACCCGACCCGCACCATTTTCAGCTCCAACAAATTTACAGTGAATTCTGCGGCTTATGGGCCGGAGTGGCGATCATTACGGCGAAATATGGTGTCGGGCATGCTGAGCTCAGCCCGGTTGAAACAGTTTAGGCCCGCGAGGGAGTCGGCGATGGATCGGTTCATTGATCGGATTCGGAACGAGGCCCAGGCCCACGATGGTGCGGTTTGGGTACTGAAGAACGCTAGGTTTGCGGTGTTTTGCATCCTTCTTGCTATGTGCTTTGGCCTTCATCTTGATGAGGAGAGTATAATCAAGATTGATCAGGTGATATATATGTACTATGCTTGCAAGCTTTAGCGTTCTCTAACATACGTCCAAATAGTATTTAGCGCACGCATATGGAGTCAAAAAGTGCTTAAAGTTAATTTTAGGGTCAAATTTTCAGTCAGACTTACTAACAAGTTTACGACTTGTTCATGGATTAATTACTCACAAATTAGGTTCTGTTACTTATCATTTTGTTTGGAGGTCGATGTTTTTGTTGTTAACTATGAAGTTGAAGCTTTTCCAAAACTTGCTTTATTCACTTTATTTGTCTTTAAGATAGAACTATTTGACGTTTAACATTCTTTTAACATCCTTCTTAAAAGAAGTAGAAGAAGGGGGAAAAAAGTCATACGTTAAAGGATCACCTGTAATTAAACCTTAAGCCTATTTTTTGAGATAAAGCTGGCTGGAAATATTTCTAGGGGTAAAGGCTGGAAATATTTTTGGGTTCGATTGGAAAGAGATCTTGAGGAGGGAAAGGGAGAGGAGGTGCAATGCGGTGGAGAAAAGAACGTCTGCTTCATCTTTATTTTTTACTTCATGTTTGTTGGGAGGGACAGCGAGATGGAGATGAATCATTTTAACTCTTTTTTTTTAATTACTTTCATATTTTATTTTCTATCTCCCCTCCCCTCAAGCTCCCATTTAAAAATTCCCTGTCAAATACAATTTTTACTTTTATCATCCTCTCCGACCAAATTAACCATGCCTTAAAAGAGGTCGGGAAGTATTTCTCAATGATCGAAATTTAATATGTGGAGTAATAATATTACGATTTTTGTTATTGTGTTAAACTTAAAATTAAGGTACCTCATGATTTTTATTTTATTATTTTTATTTTTTTATTTTTTATCTTTCAAATTACAATACTCTATTTCCTGCAATTATGTAGATATAGGAGAAACTATATATGGCTTGATAGTTGATTTAATTGAGTCGGATCTCCAATGCAAAGCATGACTACCTCTTGCGAACATTTTTTTTTCGCCCTTTTTTTGACAAATTCTAACATTTAAAAATATTTAACTAAGTTATATTCAAAACTTCATGTTTAAATTGTGAATATTTATTTATCTGAATCGTAACTGACAACTATACATGCATAATCTTGTGATATTGATCAGCTGATGAAGAAAGTCCTAATCACTCTGACGCCAAGAATGGACGACTACCTCCCCCTCCTCCGACCTTTCTTCTCCAAACAATTCAAAAATGCTCTCCAAATCCGCAGGGAACAAATCCAAACCCTAGTCCCCCTCATCAAGAAGCGCCAATCCATCCTCCAAAACCCTAATCTCGATCCCGACGCCCTCCCCTTTTCCTACTCGATCCTCTTCGACCTCAAGGTCGACGCCGCGACTCTGCGCCCACCGACATCGAGCTCGCCACCTCGCTCGAGTTCCTCAATGCGCACCGACCCACCGCCACCGCAGTTGAGTGGGCCGTCGGCCGACTCATTGAGAACCCAAACGTCCGTCTAAACTCTACGATGATATTTCCTCCACGTAGGGACAGGCCTGTCGACGAGAAGGACACGGAAAAGATGCCGTACCTGCAGCATTTGTCAAGGAGGTCTGCGTAAACACCCGCAACATACTTTGCGTACGCACGCGGCAAGCGAGCGGCGTGCCAAGCTTGGCGGGTATTTGACATACCCTTCCGAGCGATTGAGTTTTACCTGCCGACCATAGCGGAAGACCCGAAACTTTGGTCCGACCCGGAGAGGTTTGAGCCTGATAGGTTCTTAACGGGCGGGGAGAATGCGGATATAACAGGCGTAACGGAGATACGGATGATACCATTTGGAGCAGGTCGGAGGATATGCCCAGGTCTGGCGATGGGGATGACGCACATTACGCTGATGGGTGGCTGGGATGGTTCAGGCGTTCGTGGCGGGCAACACCCGACTCAACCGTTTTATCCGACTCAGCCGATAAGCTCGAGTTCACTGTCGTTATGAAAACCCCGCTGTTGGCTATGGTTAGGCCAAGGAAGTCTTGATTGGATTCGGATCCGATAATCGGTTCGGGTATCTATTTGTGGTTTGGTTTGTAGTTTTGTGCTGCTGGGATGTGGCTCAAACATATATAAACATAAAAAAGCCGGAATTGATGGCTGATAAAGATAAAGAGTTTAATTAGATGTTCTTGTATGGTTTGTTAAAAAAAAAGCAAAAAATAATAATAATAATAAGAATAAGAAAAAATAAGAAAAAAAAAGTAAAAAAGGAGGGTAACATGGACAAGTGCATAGCAACTACGAGTCTAGCTAGGATGTAATATAACACGCATACCATACTTGATTCTATTATTCGTGAAGGGCAAAAGTCATTTCGAAGCATCAAATGAATTAAGGGTTAATTGCAGACAGATCCCTGTACTTAGGGCTGTACATTTGGGCCCATGGCCCGGGTCTGCAGATCCCCTGTACTTAGGGCTGTACATTTGGGCCCAACGCCCGGGCCCGAGCATGGCCCGGAAACCCGAGCCTAACCGGGCTCTAGGCCCAAGTTCAGACCGCTTTGACGGTGCCTGCACCGTACCCGGCCCAGCCCGACCAGCAAAAGGCTAGGCCGGAGTGGTCTGGTCCGAGCTTGGCCCAGATTCGGGCCATGACTCGGCAGTGAGGCTAACGGTCACATTCGTGACCATTGTAGGCGTCTAAAAATGTCTATGGGTGTCCGCACACGGCTCGAGACAGAGAGAAGATGATAAACGTCGCTATTAGAGTCACAGGAGCTCGTTTGACAACGACAAACACATGAAGTTAGTCGACGGGTCATACGAAGCAACGGAACTTCGGAATAACGGAAACGAGAGCTGATCGGGAGCCCCGCGTCGTTTACAAAAGGCGGAGCACCCCTCGTATTCCATTTATTCCACATATGATTCAATTATGGGAGCATGTAGACCTCCTCGTCTGCTTTCCAACGCATCTTGAATCGCCTCATTCCGAGGTCGGATGAATGAGTTAAGGCTGTTACAGTAACCACGGGTCGGAATTCTGCTACAGTACCCGCGGGTCGGAATTCTGCTACAGTACCGTTTGTCGGAATTCTGCTACAGTACCGCGGGTCAATTCTGCTACAGTAACCGCGGGTCGGAATTCTGCTACAGTACCGCGGGTCAGAATTCTGCTACAGTGCCGCGGGTCGGGGATTCTGCTACAGTACTGCGGGTCGGGTTTTCCGGCCCGCGCTACAGTAATCGCGGGGCGGATCCGATCAGACACTCGCAAGCGTTGGTCAGATTTGTCCCGCACGCGCTGTTTCGACCTCATTTCAGTTTTTGACGGTTTTTCTCGGGATTTGGTCGTTCTTGAGGTTCCTAACTGATTTGATATCATCCCCTAACATGGTTAATCAGTTATTAACTGAAGATATGGACGAATCATTCATTCTCATCCAAAAACCCCCCAACCGTAGCCTATAAATACGAGCTCGGGGGCTCATTTCAAGGGGGGATTAATTATCGAGACGAGGAGGTGCTGCTAGATTGAAGAGTCAAAGGAGCACGAATTTCAGCGAGGGTTGACAGATCTCGGTGAGTTCTTCGGCATAAAGAAGGAGAGTTCGAGAGATCTGAAGCCCGTTCCCGTCCATTCCTCGAGATTAGGCTTGGTCTTAATCTCGAGAAGAGCTACTAATTTCGCTTGGTCGATTTCAACGCTTCAAGCAAATACCTCATTGGTGAGGTAGGAGCTCTGCCAATTTTTTCAACAACCAGATCTGATCAAAGGTGGTCCACGGATAAACCCCGGCACAGGCAAAGACACCCACGCAAGCAGAAGACCGATAAACGATCTAGCTGCGTTTGTTTGATAAAGTTGTAAACTTTTTTATTTTCATTGTGTAAGGAGATCTTATAAAAAGATCAACTTTTTATTTTATTCGAGTTTATTGTAATGACTAAAGTTGTAATAAATTCGATAGCAATGAAAATAATAACTTTCGACGTAAACAAACTAGCGACCACAGTGGGAGCCAACAACTTCGTTGCCAGAGCTGTTATGTCGCAACCTCGGATCTGCATCCCGGTTGAAGAAGTGGTCGAATACGTGTTCGACCAATTGAAGTTCGAGGAGTATCTGTCGTCCTCCTCCTCCAGATCCTCCGCCTCTCGCAAGCGAAGGAAGATTAACGCCCCCGTTACTGCGGTAGTTGAACCTTGCAACGCCCGTCCAGCCTCTAATGAGTCCGGATCTGCAGATTTGAACTCCTCCTCAATCAAGGAGTTGAGTACAGAAAGCGCGCCCACTTTATCGAAGAGAGCTCGCCAAAGGCAGCGCCAACGCCTTGCGCGCCAACTCGTTAGGGCTTTGGAATTAATTGACGGGATCCGTTACGAGACGGATCTAAAAATTATGTAACGTCAAGTGCCCAACAGCAGACAAATGCCCCCTCCTTCAAATCACCAACAAGTGAATGAGTACAAGTCAAAAAGACCCGTTCAACTCTTGAAGAGCGGATCAAAAAGCGCCACGCACTGCTTGTGCACATGCGAATTCTTGCGCAAGAGGCCAAGGGAAGAAGTAGAAAAGAAGCCACAAAAACTACACCAAGTTTGGAGGCCAAAGTCCAAGACGACGGCCGAAAAGATCGAGGAAAGCGGGTCACTCACATCCGACCCTCCACTTCGCGGGTCTCTTGGGTCCGACCCTCCACTTCGCGGGTCACTTGGATCTGACCCTCCACTTCGCGGGTCACTTGGATCCGACCCTCCACTCCGCGGGTCACTTGGATCGGACCCTCCAAATTGCGGGTCACTTAGATTCGACTCTCCACTTCGCGGGTCACTTGGATCCGACCCTCCAAATCGCAGGTCACTTGGATCCGACCCTCCACTTTGCGGGTCACCCAAATCCGACCCTCCACTTTGCGAGTCACCTGGATCCGATCCTCCAACCCGCGGGTCACTCAAGTCTGACCTGCGCCAGGATAAAGACAGAAGACGTTATGCACATGTTTCGTAGATCCTTTCAAGTTCCACACCTTCGACGGAACACCGTAACAGCATGGACTTGTCCCATTTCAAGATAAGGATGGCAGATCGTCTGGGTCCTTTGCACGAGGATCGAGGCAAAGTTCTGATAGAAGAACTCTTAGGTCCGGTGACTGCAACTCGAGCAACTCGTCGAGCTGGGGGTCGCACACGCTCTCGCAACAATTTCAAACTTTCTCATAAAGGGAAAACTCCGGGTCCCACCCGCCTGGGGGTGTATATCCAAAACCAGGAGCCTGTTGAGATCCTGCGCTCCCAAAAGCGTAGTTCTAAACGCGTGACTCTTGAGAACGCTAATAAAACGGTAAATCCCCTGAAAAAATGTATTCATCTAACAATGACAACATTATACCAGGGGAGTCGTGTCAACACACGATAGGTTGCTCCGGTCATCTGACCGATGAGTTGTATTATCAGACTAGGGGTACGAACAAATATCGTAAGAGAAGTACCCGGGAAGCGGACCCTCGCTGTCCGTGCGCCAAGATTATCATGGCACTATTATCAGCGTGTAGCTGCCCCAAGACCGCTCCGCAGAGGGCCTCAGTATTTGAGAGGATCTCCAACGGAAAGGCTAAGTCCAATCTAAAGCGTCTCCATAAGAAACGATCGGTCGTTCAAGGTGACGAACCCCCAGAGGTTACCATCAATATGGTTGATAAGGAAAAATCGATTCGATCTTCTAACTCTGACCCGCTTGTATCGCATCGTCTAACCCGGTTACGATCAGGAACTATTAGACAAAGGGATTATCAGAGAATGTAGAGAGGGTTATCCTCGGATGATGAAGCATCGGATGCTAACTCGGCAATCGCTTCTGATAATACGATGAAGCATCGGATGCTAACTCGGCAATCGCTTCTGATAATACAGTATCCAGTCCGGGACAATCCCGCGAAGTGTTTATGAGTAACACCGAGGAAGTAGCCAAAATAGTTAAGGGTGCCTTGGCCAAGCAAAAAGAGAACTTCAAGTTCGAAATGGAAACAGCTATGCGGCGGATGAGGGAAGAATATGACCAATAAATCCGAGCTTTGTCGAATCAAATTGGCGAATCCAGCCATCACAACACTGCTAACCAAGCAGGTAACGATTCAGATGTGGATGAACGCCTCAATGCTGAGAACCATCCCGTTGATCAGAACACTGGGGGTAGTCCCACAAAAGACAATAACACTGGGGGTGGTCCTGCCAATGATGACAACACCGGGGGTGGCCCCATTGTTCCTCTCACAAATCGTCTGAAGCATGATACAGACGAGGGCGAAAATGTTAAGGATCTTGAGAGAAAAGTCAATGCTTTGATGTTTGATCGAGAGGTAAAAAGGATCGACATTCCATGTCCTTACCCAAGAAAATAGGATTCCATCCCGTATCCGGCGAAGTTCAACCTGATTAACTTTATGCCATTTGACGGGAAGGGTTCGCCCACTCAACATCTGATCTACTTTAAGTCCCACTTGGGTATGATCTCCAGCAATGAAGTCTTGATGGTTCGGTCAGTCGTTGGCACCCTTCGCGAGCCCGCCTTCGATTGGTACCGCCGTCTCAAATCTGGAAGCATCAACAGCTTGGACGACCTGAAGAATCTGTTCCTCTCTCATTTCTTTGATGATAACGCTGAGGTGTCAATCAGAGCACTCCTTGATGAGAAGCAAAAAGACGACAAAACGGTCGACGACTTCGTCAAGCGCTTCCGGAATAAGGCGATGAACTGCCGAGATCCAATCACAGAGAACTTCATCCTTCAAACCTGTCACAACAACCTCTCATTGGATGTGTTGAAAATTATGGGAGTCGCACCGTCCAACACATGGAAAGAGTTGAAGACGCACGGAGAGAGGGCCGAACGCTTCCTCCGAAGGAAGAAGGCCGAGAGGAGCCAACCGACGGCTAATCCTCCAAACTTAAACTTCGCCTCCCGTGGTAAGGGCAAAACACCTGCAGCAGCTGTTGACGCTAATCAGACATCACAACGGCAATCCAGGAGAGGGCGAAACACTTCGGATTCGAGACTCCAAAAAAAGTACTCTTTTAAGGACGAAGACGTTCCAGCCATCTTCGAATCACTCCTTAAAAATAACAAGATCAAGCTACCACCTATCACAAATCAGGAGGAAGCTGACAATACTGCGGATCCAAGATAC